AGGAGGAGGAGGAGGAGGAGGAGGAGGAGGAGAGGAAGAAAGGAAGGAAGGAAGGAGAGTCCCTAGGTTAAGTGATTTTTAGACTCATGCCTTTTTGAAAGAAAGATCTCAGAGTCTAGATGAGATGCATTTTATGAAATGGACTAATTTGAACATTTGTGAATGTGAAAGCTGTGGCAATACTTTTCTTCCCTTGCACTTTCATGTTCTCCCTACTCCTTTGTAGGATCCTTTCCCAAAACATATCATGGGATCTAGTAGCTGCTCAGGTAATCCCACCATATGCCTTACCTAATATTTTCTCCCTCTTTGTTCTTTTATTCCCATCTTGCTACCAAGCAAAACAAATTTCATTCCCCTGGACTTTCTAAAGTATAATCCACCTCAATTGAGTATAGTTAGTAGGATAACATATAGGCAGTACTTTAGTGTTTTCACTTTTTAAGGAGGTCACTAGAGACAGTAGCTTCAAGGATAGATTCTATAAGGAGCAAGGATATTTCAGGCATGGTTTCAAACCTCAGCAGCAGATCATTAGTTAAATTGTAACAGTGAGAGAATTGGGTGGGGTGTAGTTTTGGTTCCCGTAAATCACCCCATGTAGGAAGCTATTTCAAAGTATTGTGGCGTATGTAAAGTATCTGTGTGTATAAATTAGTCTTCTAAAATCATCTTTGCTGTCAAATAAGGGCCAGTAGGGTCTCCCTTCCTGTGTACTTAATAATCAGTGAGACAGTTGTCATGAGAATATCTCAGGAAAATATGCTGACCTGGATAAAGAAGGCTTCTCTCTTTAACCTTGTTGAGAGTTTGACTGGGGGTTGTCGGATTTTTCTAGGATAGCTCATCATAGTTAAGAGCTCCTTGTGACCAGGGAGTGACTTGTGAACCCTGCCACTGACATTCCTACTTTCTCTCACTCTTCCCAAAGACCAAAAAGAGATGTCAGATGGTAAAAGGATTGCCACTCATTCCACTTTGTTAGTGCTAAGGGCTAAATGTAACTCTCTATACTCTCCTTTGCCCATGGTAATCGATTTCTAGGGTCTCAGTATATACCCGTTAAAATTTCTCTTCTGTGCTATATGTGATCACTTGTTTCTGTGTTCTTTCAGGCATGAATAAATCAATCCAGCCAGATTTCCATCGCTTCCTCAGGACACTTTATTGACCTGATGAAGGAGTTCCATCAGCACTGCAGTAAACAGTAGGTACTAAATTATGGCTTTAACTTGTGTTTCAGCATTCTTTCTGAAACAAAGCACTTACTTTGTGGTTCCTGGACAAGTATCAACAGTCTCATTTAGCTGCCTATTTACATATTTTACAGGTCTGCTTGATAGATTATCAGGTAATGGCCAGGTTCTAACAGTCAAAATAAGTGATCTTATACAATATGAAAAGCTGTACTTCCTGAAGTATTGGCTAAAATGTGTTAACTGTGGCATTTTAATAGTGTTCTACTGAATTACATTGGGGCCTGGTTAACAAAGTAAAATTAATCATGTTGATCTTATTTTTGTTTTACAAAGCAATATGGTGTTTGTCATGCATATTTACACTTTGTCACTTTTTAAAAACAATGCATTTTAATATAATTTAATTGTGTTATTGATTTTGTTACTAAGAATAGTTCTTTATTCATTTTAACTTGGCCCTAATTTTATGAGCTGTCTATTTCTTAGGTTTCAAAAATGAATGAAAGATCCAGGTACTTAGGCTTTACTTACATTTTGAAAATGTATAAATTAAATACATATTTTCAATGTTAAACAGAGCATGTGCATCTCAACCAGTACATGTTGACCACTTTACATACAGACTGTAAGATGAAATATGGGAGGTTGATGAAAGGTATATCATTTGCAGAAAATGTAGGTGAATCAAATGACAGGCAAGTGTTTACTGATTGCTAACTCTTAGGTTGGAGAGAGGTTTGGAAGACAGAAATTTCAGCCTGAGAGTGTTTGTAATGTTTGTCTTTATCCTCTTAAACTGGATGCCTGATCTTAGAAGGATTTTACTGCTATACCAGTCTACCTATGATTGTTAGAGACACATTTAGTACTTGAGCCCAGTTTTGAAAATCATGAGAAAAATCACGCCAGACCACTTAAACTTGCAGAGATAAGCTTATCCAAAGGTTAGACTTTATCCATAGATCAAGATGCATTGTATCCATAAAGTTCTTTGTTGAATGGCAACTCATTTAAATAAAAAATTGTATATATATATTGTATATATACATGTATACATATATTAGACAATCTGCTGCCAGTGTTTATTCATACCATCAGTTATTTTATAGTTTAAAGTGCAATAATTTGTTCATTTTATTTAATATATTTACATGACACTGTAGGACCTTGTAAATAGTAACAACTACTCATAAAAGTAGTTATTGTATTATTTCACGAGATAAGGCAATTGAGATAGAAATGTTTAAGGAACTTAGCCAAAGTTACAGAGAACAGGTGAAAAATTCATGAACTCCACCTAAATGAATCTCATGATGTGGCTAGTCACAACTTGAACTAGTGAAGAAAACTAAGAAAATGCTGCAAATAATGCCATTTGCTGAAATTTTCTTTTTTGATTTATTATCACTAATTTTGATTTCATACAACTTTCTTTAGCTTTCTCACAAGTATATTTAAGGGAAAAGAATTTGAAATAAATAAATAAATAGCAAGCCAATGCATAAATTATTTTTAAACTAACCCTAATCCAAAATAATTCCATAGGCTTATAGGTGTTCAGGAGTCCAGAATTGCATTTAAAATGGATAGTAACATACAGGTAAGCCATTAGCCAGTGGAAGAAATACAATCAAACAAAACAGCAAGTATATTTAATAATAAAGAACATTATCTTTTCTCACCTGCAGGTTTTGGGGACTAGTGCCAGTCCAACATATTTTCAGATACTCGGTGAGTCCTCAGGCTATAGTTGGGGAGGGACTTGTAACTTCCTGTCCTATGAAGGCAGCAGTCTATGGTAGAAAAAGTAAAAATAGCACCACATTGCCACAAAGAGGTACTCTCTATTTCATTTTCATGTATGTGAGTAGAGAGGAGGTGAAGCACTTTCTTTTTTAAAAAATCTGATTTTTTTTAAAACTTGATTTCTCTTGATTTTACTTTCTTTGATCAGAGTACAATGTGTCTGTGAAAAGTAAATCTCAAGAGTTGATATCTTAAAAAGCACAGTGACTGTGCTTTTGAGTTGCATATTTTGCGTAAGCTCATGGCATGCTGAAAACATCGTAAATATCCAGATGGGTGTTTTAAAAAGGTTCTGTAACCTTGATGTTTTTACTTTGTTGTCTTGCTTGTTATTGAAGCTTTTTGTTTGCTTCTGAAATACTTAAGTTAGCACATTGTGATTATTTGGGGAAAACTATAGTTTCCAGCCCACTTATTTTCAACCACTGGAAGAGGAACCATAAAGAGGAGCAAATTTTCTTGTTGGAGGTAGGTGTGAGAGGTCAAGCCTCTAAATAAAATAATCTGAATATACCTCTCAATAAATAAAAAAAGAAAAGTGTTATTTGGAAAAAATTCCTGTGGTCAATACCAGTAATTAAAATGATAGCTTTAAAAAATAAAATGATAGCTTTTGACGATTGTACTGTAAAGTTTATTCAGATGTGGAGAATTGAAAAGAATGGTTCTAAAAATGTATAGCCACATTTATGCTTTTTCATTTAACAGGCATTTTCTAAAAATCCCCTAATGGGTTTAAGTTCGAGGTGTTGTAGGAGAGACACAGATGAAGAAGAAAATGTCCTCATTCTCAAAGAGATTACGATCTAGATGTATGGATGACTAACTATGCAATCAAATAGGATGTAATATGTCAGACTTTGTTAACAAAATCAGGAACATACTGTGGCTATTGCAGAAAGCAGGGTTCTTATAATATTTCCACACATGCACACAGTGCACTTTCAACTAATTTGCCTCCTTTACCATATTCTTACTCCTTCCTTGAATCCCCATATACTATGAATGCTTTCTAATACCAAATAAAACTGAACCAAAGAAAGGAGGGCTAGCCCACTTGGGATGACCAAGTAATCTAGGAGGAAAGGAGATGATCCTTTCAAGAATTTTCATCAAGCCAAGCACTGGTGGCTCAAATCTGTAATCCTAGCTACTTAGGAGGCTGAAACCTGAAGGATAGCAATTTGGGCCAACCCAGAAAGAAAAGTCAGTGGGACTCCATCTCCAATTAACCAACAAAAAGTAAAACTAGAGTCATGGCTCAAGTGGTAGAGCAGTAGCTGTATGCAAGCCATTCTAGTGAGAGTATGAGACACTGAGTTCAAAACTCAGTGCCGGCAAACAATATTGGATTTTTATTCTAGTGTATTGTATGTATATATGAATATGTTAAAATTAATCCTTTTGAATGAACTAATTGATGTTAATAAAGTGAGGAAAAAGAAGGTGATGATATTTACACAGTATCAATATACTTAGTCATTGAAATGTATGCTTAAAGTTATTGTGATGTAAACTTTGTTTACAGGAATAAAAATTCTTTAAAATTAGTAGTGTTAAAATTATGTTTCAAATTTTGTTTCACCTCAGTGTGAGAAAGAAAATAATGATGGGAAACTGTAACATAAGGATGTTAAAGCTCAAGTCATAGAACTTGACAGCAAAGTGAATATTGTGTGCCAGGATAAATAGCATAGTGTAAAACCAGGATATTTGGAAAGCTAGAAAGGGAGAATAGGGCCTTGAATATTTTCTGTTTAGGTCTCTATAGTGTGAACAGTTGATGGATTTGGCACACTTCATGAAATGCTGTAAATTATTTCTGTCTGATACAGATAACTGTAGAAATATATCAGTCTAAAATAAGAAAGTCATGCTAATTAAAATAATAAAAGGGAAGTACTGTATGGCTATTGGTCATGTCAAAATGTTATAAACAGAGATAAAGCATGAATATTTATTTATCATTCTGAAATAATTGTGGATGTTACTGATTTCATGTTGGAAAGCATATACAAAACTCACTTGCCAATGTGAGTTCATTATTTTCTTGCCTATAGTTTTTTTTTGGGGGGGAGGGGTCCGGTCATGGGGCCTGAACTCTGGGCCTGGGCGCTGTCCTTCAGCTCTTCAGCTCAAGGCTAGTGCTCTACCACTTGAGCCACAGCGCCACTTCTGGCTTTTTTCTGTTTGCTAATGTGGTGCTGAGGAATCAAACCCAGGGCCTCTTGCATGCAAGGCAAGTGCTCTACCACTGAGCCACCTTCCCAGCCCCTTGCCTATAGTTTTTAGATTGATGTTATCTAGCTATTTGAATTAACCTAGAGTAGAAGCTAATAATATCTTTTTTGGAAAGCATCTGCAAAATATTGAGAAGAAAGTTTCTTAGTTGCTTTTTTAACTTAAAGTATGGTCTTCAAAAATGGCTGATGTATTTTCTTTTAAAGCCAAAGAACAGTCATATAAAATGTTGGTCCAACAATCAGTCTTTCACTAGAATTCCTATCTTAACTTGCCTTAGTTTTCACCACACTGAAATAAGTAGAGTCACACAAAATTTTTAAAAATGTTGCAAATAATGCGACTCAGTGAAAAAATACTTAGTGACAGAGCACTATTCAATGAACACAAGCATGCAAAAATCTAGTCACATTATACCTATTCATGAAGCTTCAAGGCTTGGCTTGATCCCAGAGTGGATATGGGATATTTTTCAACATTTCATAACTGTCCTAAAGGAGAGGGAAAATTGTTGTGAATCTAGTACCTAGTGATGTTTTGTGGAAAGAAGAGTGTGTGTCATATAAAAGAGACCTATCTGATTCACTTTTCGCCATTTCTTTTCAATCAATAATTTAATATCATCTCAGAAAAATATACCAACAGTTATAATGAGGATCTATGATATTATTTAATGTTTTGTGCTTTATATCTGGAGCACTGTAGGATGATATCTGAGTAGCTATGTAATTACCTAGGTTCGTGCATCATAAGTACAATTGGGTTGCCATAAGTAGCTTTGCTTTGAAGTTAATCTCCCTACCTTACCTCTATAAGGGGTGGTTTCAGGAAAATGGATACTTAACCTTTTAATACTTTACAGTCATAGCTCTGTTCTTAAATATGGTTGTTTTCAAAGGAAGAAGAGGCTGGGCAGTATATACATTGACATCAGTGTGTCACCCTTTCTGCTTCTATGTAAACCTAGAGGCCATGTATCAATGGTGAACAATCAGTCAAGGAGTCTGGCTATTTTTTGTCACTTTTAGTGATGCTCCAGTGACAGAGACCAGGAAGATGCTTCTGAGTACCAAAGGCTTCAAAATCACTTTGTTTACTTTTGCTAATCAGGAAGAAGGAGAAATTAGGACCACAATTCTGGTTGCTGGCACGTTGTTACTGCTTATAAATTTTAGAGGCTATTTTCTGGAGTGAGACTAGTAGCCAACTCTTTATAGTCTTGTTTAATTGATGGGATCCATTCATGATTCACATGAAACATGATAGAAATTTGAGAAGTAATGGACTAGAATCCTATTTCCTGGAATATTTTCTAGTTAATATTAATTTATTTTTTATGTTTTTATTGTAAAAATACTGTACACAGGGGTTACAGTTACATGAGTAAATAATGAGTACATTTCCTATCTAACATAGTTGCCTCCTCCTTTGTTTTCCCCCTACTATCCCTTCTCTCCCCACCTCTCCAACTCCTTACCTCCCCCCCCCGCAAAGTTGTAAAGTTTGTTTTCAACATAGTGTCTTGTACATATCATTGTTACAATGGATCAACCTGTATCCTTATTTAAGCATTTTGTTATTTCCATTCCCCTCTTCCAATTAGAAAAATGTATATACAAGATGCAGGGCACGGGAATCAAATATAGTGAAAACAGGGGTTATACCGTGGGAGAAGAACATACAAAAGAAACAAAAAAAATCACATGGTACATTTTAAATATGTTAAAAACAATAGCAAGAAAGAAGAAAAAAATAGTTGTGTCCCTATCCTGTGGTTCATTTCACTTAACATCATCTTATATGGTCATATGTACATATCTTTTGACCTATTGGCTTGTTCTAGACATATACTAGTTATTGCAAATAAGGGAAACCATGGGACCTATGTTTCTTTGGGCCTGGCTTACTTCACTTAATATATTTTTTTTCCCAAGTCTTTCCATTTCTTAACAAATGGGTGATGTCATTGTTTCTGCCGAAGGCATAGAATTCCATTGTGTGTGTGTGTGTGTGTGTGTGTGTGTGTGTGTGTGTGTACACCACATTTTCTTGATCCATTCATGTACTGAGGGGCATTATGGAAATTTTTTAAAGTAATAGTTGAGGGCACCATGTACATTTAGAAGTAAATAATTCATTGTTATCACCTGTGTTTTAATATTTTAACTCTTAAATAATTTTCCATGAAGATTTTTGTGAAACTAAATATCTCACTGTCTGTTTGAAGGGTTGTATATTATTGTTTTTCTCTTTAAAATGAAATGCTATAGACTTTGGAAAATATGTGGAGATAATTTTTCCAAATATAAATAAGGCAAAAGGAACTGTGGAAATAAAAGGTGTAATGCACAAATAACAGCAAAACGTGATACAGTAAATAAGCTGCTAAAAGAAAAACCATATGAAAGCTCTGGGATCTATTATACAAGTTTCAGAAACTTTTGTGTGTGTGTGTGTGGTTCTGACAATCACTGGGAAAGGCTACCCACTTTGATTTTCTGGGCTTGATCTTTAAAGGTTAGAGTCAGGCATTCCCAGCCTGAACACTTTCAACAAGGTGAAAATCTTATCCTTAAGGTGAAATTCTCATCCCTAGGGAAGAGGAGATTGGACCCAGCAAACAAGAAGGAAGGTTTTCCTTTTTTGTTGTTAATGGAAAGCTTTTGTCCCTGAAAATTCACACT